TTTTCATAGTGAACAATACGGGTTTACTAGTGGTAGATCGACTAGCGATGCGGGGGTAGCGTTACTAAAACACATCTTTGATGCTTGGGAAAGGTCCCAGAACGCTATTGGTGTTTTCTGTGACCTCTCAAAGGCATTTGATTGCGTTGATCATAATACTCTTATTAGGAAGCTGGAACATTACGGTGTAAATGGCAAGGCGTCGAAACTTGTCTCGTCATATCTCAACGGTAGAATTCAGAAAATAGACATAAATGGAGTGACTTCTTTGGGTTCTCCAGTAAAAATGGGTGTTCCGCAGGGCTCAATACTTGGACCTTTCTTATTTCTGATTTATATTAATGATCTGCCATTCTTTGTTAAGGACCATTGCGAAATAGTGTTGTTTGCTGATGACACATCCTTGATTTTTAAAACAGACAGACATGACATTAACTATGACCGTATTAATGATACCCTCTCTAAGGTAGTTTATTGGTTTAATGCTAACAATTTATTGCTTAATGCCAAGAAGACAAAATGTGTTAAATTTGAATTACCTAACGTAAAATCGACTAGTCCAAGCATAGAAATAAACGGAGAAAAGTTAGACCTTGTTAATAAAGCAGTCTTCTTGGGAGTGACCTTAGATAGTAAACTTCAGTGGTTTCCACATATATCGTCCCTGGCCAGCAGATTAAGCTCCGCTGCATACGCAGTCCGCAGAATACGTGAGCTTACCGATGTTAGTACTGCTAGACTAGTTTACTTTAGTTACTTCCATAGTATTCCTACGGGATTCTCATGTGGGGTAAAGCGGCAGATATTCAAACCATATTTGTATTGCAAAAACGAGCGATTCGTTCTGTGTACCGTCTAGGCTCTCGGGTATCTCTCAGAGAAAAGTTTAAGGAGACTGGTATCATGACTGTGGCATCACAGTACATTTACTCAAATATTTTATATGCCCGTAAAAATTTACATAATTTCAATAAGAAAGAAGATATCCATAATATTAACCTTAGAGCTAAGTCCAAACTCATGGTACCACGATTTCGTTTAACCAAGGTAAACAACTCTTTTATGGGGAACTGTATACGTTTTTACAATAAGATTCCGGAGCATATATTAAGTTTATCATTTCCTAAGTTTAAAAACTACATTAAAAATATTTTGATCGAAAAATCATATTACAAAATTGAAGACTACGTGTTAGATAAAGATGGAAAGACGACATGGCTCCAGAATCCACACAAATTTGATTCAAAGTGTATTCCATAGCATTTAAGTTTATTGAAAAGAGCAATCCCTAGAGTTTCTTGCTCGTTCTTCTCAGGGAGGTCAGCGTAGTGAACGAGCAGTAGCTTAAATGTAGCTTAAATGTGACGTTTTCAAGTGTAAATTTATTTTACCTATGGAATAAATAATCTTTGACTTTGACTTTGACTAGGTATTTGCTTGGCGGCAGAAATAGGTAAGGTGGAAATACTTCCCTGGATTAACTCTTTCTCAACGAGTTTTACTGTTACTAAAATCCATCACGTCTCACGCACTAAAGTCCATCACCAATTTATACGTTTGCAATCCCTTGATAAATTAAAAATAAGATATTGAAAATTAATAACTTTGCAACTATAGTTCAGAATAGGGTGGTGTGCATTAATATTTAACATAATTAGTTTCACACAATTTGACTTAGACACACTTAATATCGAAATGTATTAATAAAATCTCGCATATGTGCGGTCCATTAACACTAAAACCCAAAATAAATATATGTCAAAGATATCTTTAATAGTCTATCGATTAACAAAGAGAAACTTCAAGCCTTTTCTAGATAATGCACGTGGGAAGTCTATACATTGATTAGAAAACGAGTTTAAGGAAAATATTACTATGTATTACATTTACGAGTGCAAGTTACAAAGCTATGACGCAGTAGATGATAAGGTTATGTGCTCCTATGTATGAGATCGTGGGTTCGTTTCCGAGCAGGAATGCACCATTGAGCTGTTTTAAAGTTAGCTGGACTGCACGGTAACCTATCACAAACTCGAATATCTTTTTTTTGAGATAACGTTTGTTCGAATTTTCATTACACCGAAAACCGAATTATAACGAAACCGTTCTTTTAGGATATGTTGAATGTTTATCTCAAAGACACGATTAGGTTCGGTTAGGTTAGATTAAGTTAGGTTTAATAGAAAAAACATTTTCTTCTCATAATTACTTTCGAGGTTATGAAAATTCGAGGAAACGTTATTTCTGGAAAATGTCATTTCGGACTATTGATACGTAACCAGACTGCACATTGTCAACATTATCTTCACCCACAGCCTGACTTAGTTTGGTGAAATCACATGGAACTTGTCAACTTGTGTCTCAGGGTGACAGGCGCAATAGCAGTGTACTATAGATTTTGTCATTAACGCACACACTCACACACTCAACATAGCCCCGTACTAGGGAAACTCTGAGTCGCGGGTGCCATGGACACACATATAGACAACCACAAATTACACCCAAACTCACGAGAGAAATAAATGTAGGCCATACATATATTTCTCCCGGCCTGGGAATTGAACCCAGGACCTCTGCATGGCAATCCGGCATGGTAACCGTTCGGCCACGGAGGCAGTTAAAGTTCTTAGTGGCACAGTAGCTGGTAAGAACAGGCGTGTCGCTTACTACCAGGTACAGGACATGGTCGTCCCATCACTTGGTACTTGGTACCATCGGAGATTCTACGGCACGTTACGCAAATATAGTGTGTCACTTGAACGTTAGGGATAAAGGCATTTTAGTAGCAATAGAGTTGCTTGGGAAAGAGTTTGTACAAAGTACTGCTAGCTTACCTATTTCTGCTGCCAGGCAGTAAAGTTAGTATTACAACGTTTCGGTTTTGAAGGATAAGGGTGGTAGTGAAATTACAAGCACATGTGACTTGACAAACCTATGTCTCAGGGTGATGTGCGCAGTGGCAGTGACAATTAGATCTTTGTGATTTAAAGCTTGGAGTATATATTAGACAAAATCACATACGTTTCTCCGATTCAAAAGCAACTATAGCACTTGTGTTATGGAAATCGGAAATAACGACGATACTACAAACACCCAAATCCAATATAATATTGAAAAGTTTTTCTACATTGACCCGTCGCGGCTTGAAATCAAGACGTCTTTGTTGGCAACACCATGAAAATTGATGTGTGTAAGCCCACTCCACCACAGAGGTCGTCTGAGTAGCACTGCGCTTGCCATCTTGCACGACTTGTTCGTGCCATTACTTGGTATCATAAAAAATAAGAAAAAGACCAGAGCAACAAATTCACGTCGTCCACTACGTAGAATACCCAGATCAGAACCAATTTACAAAAGTTCATTTGATCCTACCGGGAATCGAACGCGAGATCTCCACATCCAGGGTCCACAGTACATATCATTAGGTCACCGAGATCGTCAAAATTTGATTCGCCCAACGTCGTCCCGTAGAGTATGTGTTTGCCGTGATTACGACTGTTTCTAATATATTATTGGTTAACAAAGTTTAAAATTATTGGTAACTGCGCCTAAATCAGTCTATAAGAGTTAGTTCTTTGATACAATAATAAAAAATGTGAACTAATTTACAAATTACACTTTAATGACCTATGTGTTACTGCGCCTTATAAAATATAGTTCGCGGCACCACACAACAAACCGCAATTCTTGTTCAATACACAACGTTTGTCGATTGACGATTTTTTATAAGGGAGTGCGCAAATAGGCAATGCACTGCCTGCGTCATGTAAACGCTCGCGCAACGTATTCAGTGCCCTTTTCACACGTACTACATTTATCTACGCCTAACTATTAATACAAGTGCCCTAATAGACAATGCAGTGTTTATTTCACGCAATACACTTGTAGTCTGATAGCAGGGTACATTCTGCTAATAACAATAATTACTATCACAAGTTTTAGTGTTAGTGGAGTCGTTTGTTTTTGTTCAGTAAGTATTACAAATATAATTAAATACCTTTGGCGTAGATAGATAACCAAGTGAAGTAAACTCTGCCTAAGACGAATCCAATAATATACAGCCCCGCGATACAGGGTTTCACTAGCGCGGGACTATAAACAAATGGTATTTTCTTCACCTACCTCTCGTAATTGCGAGAATATAAAATTACCTTCCTCCGAAATGATCTACAGTGTTTTGGTCATGTGGAAAAAGTACTGTAATTTTCTAATATCATGGACAGTGTATGAGGGAATTGCACTATTTAATTCCGCCATTATCTGGGGACTAGACGTCGGCTGGATTTTATCCCTATGTTGTGGATATTCTAAGGACTCGCAAGAAGCGTTAGTCTTCCTCTCTTGCACACTTATTCCCTGAACACTATAACTTGTGCCTTTTCAAGGCGAGAGAGCTCATCGTCGTCCTCATCGTCACTTTCCATCAGGTGAGATAGAGGTCAAATGCACGCTTATTTTTTTTATAATAAAAAAAAGTTATACCAATGTTATGTAATGTAACCCTTGCATTCTGCAGTTACATGATGCGAGACAAATGGTGTGAAGTGCGCTTTAGGCTTCAGATATATTTGAGACAATAATTGCCAGACTAACATAATATTATAATGTTCATAAATTGTTAGATAGTTGTGCTGTGATGCTATGTCAAGAAACAAATGACGCTCCGCGTGAATGACAACCGTGAGACTAGCGATTTCGTACCAAATAGCTCTGAAGATATTTCCAATACATATAATGGGCATTGTCGAGGTAGAATCTCTGGCTGGTAGTGACACTTTGAGCGACATTGGCTACACGTAGAACATTGTGTGACATGTGATTTCTGAATTCTTAAATTATTTGATTGATGCCATTTTTGTTCCCCGTAGGAGTCAGGTATATTGAAATTCTGACGAAGCTATACTAGTCCATTGCAAAGAAGAGCATAGGTAACTTTTGGTCTTATTTTAAAATTTATCAAGTTTTAATTAGTGTATTTTTTTTTTCAAAAATATACTTACCCATTTTGACGTAAAATATATCACTCTCACTTTATTGAAAAGTCCTTTTGAGATCACGTATAAAGTTATAATAGCGGTTCTCTTATCACCGCTGTACCATCGTCACACTAGTCGCGATACTGGGAGTGAGATGCGCCTGGGCAGCCGCAGGGCGGTGTTCGCGCGTGCGTGTTGGCGAGCAGCGTACCTCAAGGATGTCGCGTGCTGCCTACAGAGGCTTCAGTGCGAATGGCGCGTCGGCGCAGCGAGTTGCCCAAGATTCCTTCGCCGCAATTGCGATAAGGCCGCGATCGCTCATCTCGCGTTATCTAGACGGTCACCGCCATCGATCAGACTTGACTTGTCCACGACATTGTATTGTCGATTTCGCATTGCGTAACTGATATTAAAGAAAAGTTTATTAGGTAAAAGCTTTTAGTAGACAATTTTTGTGGCTAGATAAATATAATCTTGGGCACATAATTCGAACCACCTTGCATTTTACTTTTAAATACAAAATTACAAACAAAAATATTGTTAAGTTTTAGAAATTCAAATTTCAACAAGAACATACGAAAGTGATGTTCAGTATACTAGCTACAAAATTACGTTAATATTTTTAATCTACGCAACATTTTTTTTATTTCATCTTTAATCATTTAATGTTAAAAATGCGAAGTGGCTCGAATTATATGTCCGGGAGTGTATATTACTATCACTTATCTGTTTATCTGACCTTAAGTCTGTTTTTTAGGCAGTTTATTCATCAGTTTATTCTTCCATTTTCTCTTAGATTTTGTATTTACATAGCCTAGAACAAAGACGTGCGAATTTCTGAATGTCATAAATCAAAAGCTGTTTGTTTCAAATGATAAGAGCGATGTGTCAAGAAATTATACGTCTCTAGTCCACACGCTAACCAATCAAGGTCAGGACTTCATAATGTTTACCAAGGGATTTTTTATTTTTAATCACTTGTTGCACAAGGAAACACAAGCAATAGGTACTGCTCATTTAAAAAAAAATCTACCAGCAGACCTAAATTGTTGACCTAAACCTGTTTTTTCTATGATACAAAGTGTCGGGGCTGATGGTAGGCGACACGCCTGTCTGTAGCAATGGCAGTGCCACTGAAAGCGTCTCACTGCTCTGTCGCCCGCACCCTTACGCTTCCAAACCGAAACGCATTACTGCTCGGCGGCAGAAATAGGTAAGGTGGCAGTACTTCTCTGGACGGACTCTTTCACAAGGAACTATTGCTATTAAAACACATTAGTTATAATTATATGAAGTAAAAAATTCAGGAGAATAAATACTAAGCTCCTTTCTACTATTTATTATTCTCTAAATAAATTTCCAATCAGGCACAATTCAAAGTACATTCTTGTAAGCAGATTGTTCCCGCAGATGGCTTACCTTCCCTGGGGACTTTGCGGACCGCAACCTAAAGATAAGGGAGGTGACTACTAACTCACTCGCTTCTTACGATCGATAAATGCGCTATTTTTTTATTTCAAAACAATAGAAGATTGACAAAACTTGGACGACCTGTGCGGCATATTAAATATGTATATACGAATAGTATTTTATTTGTTAACTTTGAATTTCGTATTTCGAAATTTAAGACTTGAGTTTTTTAATTTTGAGGTCACGATTTTCATTGATATATTTCAAATTTAATTTTTTAGGATAAGAAACTATTTTTTCGGTATTAAATCGCGTATATTTGTTTTTGCAAACTAACTAACGTTTCGGGTTTACAGATCTTATGATGACGGCTGAAAAAAGACATATATACGCAATTTATACCCGAATAAAATATTCATTTCCTATGTTTTTTTTTAGTTGCGGGACGAAGAAGTCGTGCACCTGTCGGTAAGCGACACGCCCGTCTATAATAGTTGCATTGCCACTCAGAGCTTTAAATCGCAAAGATTTGGGAGACACTGCCACTGCGCCCGTTACCCTGAGACATAGTTGACAAGTCCCCTATGCCTGTAATTTCACCAGCACCCCAACCCTTCAAAACCGGAACGCAGTAATGCTCACATTACTGCTTGGCGGCAGAACTAGGCAAGGTGGCAGTACTTCCCTAGACGAACTCTTTCACAAGGAGCTCTACTGATACTGAAAAATCTAAGTTCTCGGTATAGAACGTTTAACGTACACACTCACAGCCCCGACCCTGTGTCGCGGGTGGCATGGACACACATAGAACATCACAATTTACACCCAAACTCACGAGAGAAATTAATATAGGCCATACAAATACTGCTCCCGGGCCGAAAATCGAACCCGGGACCTCTGCGTGGCAGACCAGCATGATGACCGCTCGGCCACAGAAGCAGTTAAAAATATTTTAGTATGATTTAATCTTCGCTTAATATTTTTGACATTCCTTTTTGTTTCCGTTGTATTCACGGGTGCATTCCTAAAATAAAGTTGTTAATACACAAACGTCATCTTCATAAAAGTGATATCCACCCTTATAATTAGACTGATGTAATTTTAATGTTGTACTCAACGGGAACATTAATGTAAGGTATACAAGGATTGCAATAAAAAATCATTCAGTGATTTACTCATATAAAACGAATGGCTTGGTATTCATTACTGCGACATTATAAGGCGATTTCTCATGTTCAAATTAAAATTAACAACCTCTTACTTTACTTAAAATAAATTACAGTCCTGGGAATCGCATGCAAAGGTCAAAAGGTTTGTCTATAAAAAAGTAAGTTTCTGTTTTAACAAAAAAGGATAATTATGATTTCATGAGTCGGAAGCCAGCGCCATCATCTAATAGTAAATACAATTTTCGAAATTCGAATTTTAAAATGTACAATAAAATTTCATCCCAATCACAGAATAATTTGTTTATCGAACACCTTTAAAGCACATTTTTCAAAAAAACAAAAAAATGTTATGTAAAGTATACAAGAGGTTTTTGAGGAATATAAAAATAAAAATAAACTGCTTTCGTGGCCGAACGGTAACCATGCATGAGTTTGGGTGTAATTTGTGGTTGTCTATGTGTGTGTTAATGGCACCCGTGGTACAAGGTTTCCCTAGTGCGGGGCTAAAAATGTGTGCGCGTTATTATTATTATTATAATTAATATAAACCTATAATACAATTATTTACCTAATTTATTAATTAAAACCTATATAATATAATTATTGTCTTTATTACTAGTATTTAAATTTTTATTACTTATATAAGTGCTCTTAAAAAAATGTTATGTTCTTTTTAACCGATTTAAAAAAAAAGGAGGAGGTTCTGAATTCGACTGCACTTTTTTCTTTTTTGTATGTATGTTACTCGATAACTCATTTGTGAACCGATTAGAAAGTTGTATGGGTTAGATATCCGTGGGGTGACCCACAAATGGTTTGAGTAGTATTTAAAAAATAGGGAACAATTTCTTGAAGTTGAATATTTTAATCATAGCACAAAAGAAATAGAAAAAGTTCAATCCGATGGCAAAATAATAAACGGATCGATCCCCCAGGGCAGTGTTGTAGGTTGTTTATTATTTCTGATTTACATAAACAACCTGCCAAAAATTTTAGAAGAGCCTTGTACATTATTCGCAGACGATATTTCACTACTTACCTGTAATAAAAATGTCAATTTAAATGAAAAACTTAACACAATCTTAAATAAAACAATAAATTGGATGAACAATCATAACCTTGAAATAATTTTTAAAAAAACAAAAATAATGACTTTTCAACCGTACCAAAAAGAACCGCTTACAGTAAATTTTCATCTTAGTGGCATTGAATTAGAAGTTGTACCAGAGTGTACTTTATTGGGTTTAGTAATAGATACTAATGTTAACTGTAAACCATATATACAAAAAATTAAATCTAAACTTTCGAAATTCATTTATGCATTTCTTCAAATAAAAAAGACTACAAATTTTGAAACTGCTCTAGTAACGTTTTATGCCTACGCATATGCGTGGCTTATTGACTACGGTATTATAATGTGGGGAAACAGTACAAATGCTCCCAGCCTCATTACTGTACAGAAAAAAATTTTAAGGATCTTAGTAAACATTAAAAATACAGGCACTTGCAAACCATATTTTGAACATCTTGGAAATTTGTAAATTTGTTAGGAAATATCCACATTTTTTTAGTACGCGGATACAAAACAACCCAAAATATGTTTCACGTAATATAAATAAATTAGTAATACCTACATCCCGACTCAAACTGCACTCATCAAGCACACCAGCTATGGCCGTAAAAATATATAATAACCTACCAGACCAATTAAGAGACACTGTTAAAGCTGTAGATTTTAATAATAAACTTAAGGAGCTACTAATTAAGAAAGCATACTAAACTGTACGAATATTTAAGCAAAAGACTTAAAAAAAAACATGTTATACTTACAATGCAAACGCCATAAACAATACTATTTTTAAACTTAAATAAATATCTTAGACATATAATATTAAACATATCAATCAATGCATAAATATGTAATTAAATAAAACGTAAAGTAATGTTATTGGAAAATATTTCAATATTATGTTAATGTAATAGATACTTAATTACTACACATAGCAACTAGGTAATATAATTGTAGAAGCTTGTCAAAGCTGCAAGCTTTCTTATCTAATATTATACTCGTAAAATGCAAAATGTGAATATACTATAATAATTACTTTTAATATATAATTAAGAAAATATTGTAAACCCTCATCTCTTTATATATAATTTGCAGTGCCCTACAGGGTCCATAATGCGCTGTTACCTTAGCTTTAAACTATTGTCATCCTTGTAACATTATCGTAAATGCATCGAGTATATAACTAGAAATAGAGACGAATTAAGGGCCATATCCTGGTAACACATTAGCGATACAGCTCTTATAAATATCAACTCTCGTTTGCACTGATATATAGACAGGCCAACTACTGACCTGTGTGTACGTCTTCGTATATTCCGAAAAATATTCTGTATTTATTGTAATAAAGATAATATATCTAACAATGCCATGCTGTTTTATTCGGTGGTGTGAGAAAAACATCTAGTTACAAAACAAACGGAATCACATTTCATCGGTAATTAAATATTAAATATGTAATTTTGCAATATTCGTCCATTATAACAAAGCTCAAGTTAACTGGTCGTTTTGAAGTGAAACAATTGACGACACCCGTCAATTGTTTCGAACTCGGGCTAGCCAATCGAAGCGCAGTTGTCACAGTAATGATATG